TTTTGTGTTTATTTAAGTAGAGAAGTAATAAGACTGTCTAGTTCATTTGCATTGACAGGGTGTGTAAACTACACCCAGACTAATAAAAAAACATGCATCATGTCCTGAACGCTGATGGAAAGTCAAACCTCATCCTGAAAATGTTGGGTGTGGGAACATTAACTCTGCAGATGCACAACATGTTTACAGAAAGGTCAAGATCATTTCTGCATCCTGGTTACTTCACCTTATGCTAAAACTGTGCTATGAAGAGACAGAAGAACTGAAGAAGGCAGATAAATCACTGTATCAATCACTGAAATAGCATAAGGATCCAAAACACCAAAAAGAGTTCAAGAAATACAGATATATCCTGTTCCTGGTCCTGTTATTATTATTTTATGTTTTGGTTTGGGAAGGGGATGGAATCAAGAACAATGTGGGGAATGCGGGGATGCTGCAGGGGGACAGTGCCCAGGGGGTGTATAAGAGCTGTAAGGGAGGGCCTTATCTGGTCTAGAGCAGCTGTACAGAGTGCAAGCACTGTTTAATTGAAAGGTGTCAACCATAGCCTCAGAGCCACTGAGGCACTAGTAACCCTAAGAGGGATAGGTGTAAAACAAAAGTGAAAGGAATCACTTTTACAAAGACATTCTTAAAACTTGCAAGAGGAAACTTTGTAGTTGTGTGAGACTTACCTGTGGCGAAGGCAGCTTCACAGAGGCAATATAACCACAGGATATGCTTTATATTTAACATCTGTCAAAATAAAAATAAAATAAATTGCTTTGTCAAAATATATAGACAAATGATTACTTCATTCAGTGGTATGATGAATTAATCATTTTCAGATAAAACAAAGTTACTGTTATGTCAATTATAACAATACTTGAGAAATAATGTATTATTATTAACACATATTATTACCACTTTATTATTTCTAATGAGGCAATGCAGACTCAAATGCATATATCCAGGTGCACTTTTATGGGAGTATGGGTGGCACGCAGTACAGTACATCTTTGCCCTTACGTGCGCCTAAAACCCAAGTGTTTGAAAATGGCAAATAAGGTAGAAAGAAGAATTATTCCGTAGAAAGAATTATTGGGCAAATCGAAAATATGGTGGATTTTGCAAACGCCCATTCGCACACAAAATGGGACCTATCAAATTAGCCATCAGATATCCTTTAAAGCTCTTTAAAATATGCTTTGGCTAAAATTAAGCGGTGATGCGAAGTGTTGAAAATTACGCAAGGGAAAAAGTCATGAGGGATGCTGACAACCAACCTGTCGACACTAACGAGTTTACAATTAACAGTAGCCCATATTAGAGAGTTGCTATTATAAATAAATGCATTTTTAAATAAATATTAGGAGCCCTAGAGTAGCAGAGAATTGAGAAGTGGGAGTCCCATTTGGCAATGTATGGAGGACCGCTCTGCTCCAACACTGTAGGTTATCTGAGGACAGCGCGGCATCACAGGCTTCCCAAATCTTACACTATAGGCTACTCTAACAACGTCAACATTTACATTTACTTATAAATCACATTTCCACGTTGTTTCTCAACGTAGGTCTACTGTATTGCAATGCATAAACAGCATTTTAATATAACAGACACAGTCTTGTAACTTTACCGGAGATCAGTTAAATTATAATTTGATTTAAAAAAGTAACCTCACCTCGAATGGTGTTTTATTCCATAAAATAAAACAAGACCTATGATTATATCCAGTAAATCCCAGTGCAAAACATGAGTGCGTAAAAAAGGTCCAAATGCCCAATCCAAAACACCAGCGCACCTCCTGAAGCGCACTTTCCCTCTATGTGATAGTCCAGTGCGACACGCTCCTGGTTGGATGTACTGCGCGGAGCACAGAGGGGATAAAGTGCTGGAAAGCAACAAGTTCGATTGTGTCCAAAGGCACCCTGTTATTTCGTCAGGGTTAGAGGAGGGGCAGCGCGCCCATCAAAAAGTGAAGGGGACACCTGGGGGAGGGAGCAAACTAATCAGCTGCTGGGGTTCACTCTGAGCCAATCAGTGTGGCCAAATGAATTAGAATGGTACAGTGGTTAATCAGAGAAAGTGGCCAAATGTGAAATTAAATACTTGGTGTCATTTACTGAAAAATGTGTGTAAGACTTTATTATAGGTTAATTACATGTTGCATTGGGCAAAGTATTTTCAAAGTTACGAGTAGGTTATTTTGTGTGGTGCGATCAAAACACTTTATTTATGGATTATGATGTGTCAGTTGAATGCCCTCAAGAGAAGACGTGTAATGTCTACAAGTGGTCAGTGGAAAGTGGGTGGTGCAACCATGATCTGACTGAAAGTGACTCAGGTTCGCTCTAAGGCTTTGCCAGTGCTGCGGGTGAGGGGATAGGGTCTGTGTAACCTATCTGGAAATGGGTGGCATATGCAGTGTGGGGTCACATAGCGAGGACCGGGCAATCACAAATAATGACACTTCTTGATAATGTTAATGAAACTTCTTTGAGTTCCGCATATCAACACACTGTAGTATTCCAACCATACAAGTTACTTAGCATTGAGTATAGCAATAAGGAATGTGATGCTTGCAGATAACTTAATATAATGTTAAATGGTTTGTAAGTGTTTCATTTCTGTAATTGAAACGGCTGCACAATAGCCCCTGAAAGCTGCTCTTGAGACATAGTGAATGAATGACACCTGACTTGTAGGTCACTTTTCATTCTGACCAAGGGTCAGGAGTCGCAGACTTGCACTGGACTAGACTAATTGTTCCAAAATCACGGGCTGTACTCTCAGACCACTCATTCCAGCTGACACCTAAAGCATTGATGAGCAGCTTCTGACACAGAGGGGCACTTCTGAACCTCCCCGGGCTCTTGTAAAAGTCATATGTCTTTTCCTACCTGCGTGCATTGTAATCAGCCTCACATTTTATAATGCGTAGTTTTATGTATTTTAGCATGTTAGTATGTGTGTGTCTGAGTGTGTGGGGGTGTGTGTGTTCATGTGTGTGTGTGTGTGTGTGTGTGTGTGTGCGCGCGCGCGCGTGTGCGTGTGTGCATGTCTGCGTCTGTCTGGGTTGTTTGGTTGTGTGGGGTCGGACAGCTGTGGGGGCTGGGTGGGTGGGTGGAAGGAAATGTGGGATTGTTTGTAATCACTGTAAAGCACTTTGTGTTACATTTTTGTATAAATAAAGTTTGACTGACGGCCATCAGTGGGCATTAGTGCAATCACTATGGCTCAAAATTATCAATAGGGAATCAATAGAGAATAGAAAGAAAAATGTTTCAACCCCAACAACACAGTAACTATTTTCATTCAAAAGTGCACTATATACCTTTTCCTGTGGCAGGTACACCTTCTACATGTCTGGAGATATCATTGCTTTGCCTGGAATTTTCCATAGGATTGCATCAAACTTGTCCATAGCATTTCTTTAATTGAATATCTTGAAACATCTCCATTCTCCCTGTGAGCAGGGTCACCTCTCCTTAGATCTGACTTGTAACAGCCTGGCAGTGTAGGTACAATTCTCAGCTAAGGTTTATTGTCCCTGTAGGGAAATTTGTCCACTGTATTTGACCCATACTTTAATGCCGCTGGGACTTCTCCTCAGGCAGTGAGCACCACAGTGCAACACTCAAGGGCCCATCTCCATTCCTGTCTTGCTTAGTTTGGTCAGAACTACCTGGAGGATTTGACCGATTGTGCATATCTTGGGTTGACCGGTAAAACTCGAGTGACCAGAGAAAACCCTCCTAGACAGAAGAGAAACATGCAAACTCTGTACAAAAAAGTATCCATGGAGATAGATATGTTAAATGTCATACTGCGGAAGCAGGTGGCAGAGCCTTCACCAGACAAAGTTAATGCAAATAGTGCACCTTTAATTATAGTGCTCAAAAAAGAGGCAAAAGAATCCCATTGATATTTTTACTACTCAAGACAACTATATTATTGAGCATTAGTTTAAAGTTACAGGAAGTTCTGTCCTCTTTACGGCTCCCATGTCTTAAGTGAGTCACCTAAAAGTAAAAAGATGCAGGTTACAAACTGCTATGTAAAACCTCCCTACTGTATGTATAATGACGACCTCCAGGGGCTTTTCAGTGCCTTTAAATCACTGACTCATGCAGTCAGTTAGCCGTGTTTGATCCTGGAAAGGAGCTGTGTGGGCCCCACAAGACACCACATATCACATGACCAATAAAGGTGTCCTGCGTCCGGTACCATGCCATCACAGACATAGCATAAAACCTAGAACAATTTCTGCAACTCAGCTCAGTCCTTTGAGTTATATAAGAAACCAGCTGAAAAAGAAAACAATGAACATTGTATTCTACAAACAAATAAATATGCAAATAAAGGCAGTATAGCAGGTATGGTGAATCAAAAGCAAAGATAAATATCAGTATACCAACAATAAATGCTTAAAGGTACTCTACATTTTCTGGTGGAGAGCCTTCCACCTGCTAGACTCCATAGTATGGCATTATATCCATGGTGACAGGCAGGCCAAGTTACGGGTCATAGCTGTGGAGAGGCGAGCTCACACACCAAAAGAATGCATGTTTTTTTTTTTGTGTTTTTTTTGTGTGTGTTGTTGTTTTTTTACCTGAACTTTCAACTGAATAAAAACAAGATGGCATTTTAAATGCAATATGAGTGTGGAACATTCCGGTTCATAGCACCAACATCTACATGGAGACAAGCAGGTTGCAAACCCCCAACAAAAAAGTTACATGCAATGTGACATATCTGTTACACTCTGCAGTACTTTCCCAGCATTCACTGAATAAGTTTGTGAATTTATTCAGCAAACATATCCCCCATTTAAAGCATAAAATGTGTTCAAATGAAGTTGCCTCTGGACAGAGAAGTACCTTGATCCTCTGGAGCCAACAGTGGAGGGCCAGACCACTGATGGTGATCTTTCAGCTTTAGCACAGAGGCCATGAGAGGTAAGCACAGCAGACAACCCCATACAATTATGTTCTTCCAGTAAAAGGACAGTCAATATGTGGTGAGAAACTGCTTTTATATGAAGTAATCAGTTATGTTTTCACAAACAAGATTTTCTTTTTATTCTCTAGCACATAAATTAAATTAGAGCTGCCATAAAAATGTATTGGTGGCTGTATGAGAAATTGTCAGTTCCTTCATTGTGCATTTTACATAAAAAATTAAGTGCGTCAATGAACCAAGATCCCTCCCAGTTGGTCACGCCTGCATGCTGTCTTACTTCCATACAACATAAAGTCAAACTGGATTAATTAAACAGAAAACAGGAAAACTAGGAGAGCAGGTTAATGGGACTGTAAGCAATACAACACACCACAGTTCAAGCAGTGGAGCTCAACAGTGACCACTTGGCACCTCGTTCTGGAAGTAAATTTCTAATTCATTTTTCCCATACACATTCTGAAAAAAATGTAAAAGTCTGAAAGCTTACTCGGACATAATCAGCTAGGTGGTGACTAATGAGCACAAGACCTATAATTTTATTTAAAATCTGTTTCTGAAACGTTAAAACTGTCAAGTTATTAAAACATTTGCCTGAATCTTGTGTTTTATACTTGATTTTTGGATGCTTTGCTTCATGGATATTAGTTACCAGAAAGCTGCTTAAGTCACCACGATGTCTTTGAGCTCGTGATATCATTCAAGATCATTCTTATGGCAGCAGAGCAGAAGATCTTGTGAGGTTCACTCAGTAATTCTGAGCACTGAATCCACCTTCCCATGCTCCATGTTCCTCATCATGGCATTTGTTCTGAAAAATATAGAAAAAAGTTGTTACAATTTCTTTCATACCGTACAATATTTTCAAATATACATTATTGCATATTATTATTCAAGAACACAAGAATAAGAACTCAATAGTTAAAATAAATATCTGAAAATTTATATGACCTTTCTATGGTCCTGTGCTTTCACGCCATAAAACATACTATAAAATATGATATAAAAAATGTCTACATCTGTTACAGCATCCATGCAGCTGCGGGCTGAGCATGGCAGCATGGTTTGTATGACTTTTGTATGTAATAATTAACTTTTATTTTAAATGACTTCTTTTATTAGTGTTAATCCATGGTCAGACGTGTGAAAAAATACTGAGAAAGCAAACAAGTCAAGAGATTCTTGTAAGAACTGAAATAGTTCGGTAACCAGGGACAGCCCATTTCTACGTCACTACACTTTGCAAATTAAAGTTAAGAGGATGCATCTGGTGGGAAATATTTAATGTATCCCCAGATCCTCATATTGACTTAACCTCAAAAGACTGACGAACAGTATTTATGACCAAACAAGGGCATGTGTCATCATTGTTACATGGTATGACATATGATCTACAGCATGTGTGTCCCAGAATGAAGAATCATTGGTAAAGCAAAGACCCTGACTGCACAGAGACCACAGTAGATGGGTGTGTTATGAGGAGGTTAGCTCTGCAGACAAGAACAAAGTGCCAATATATGATTTGGTGACTTGGTTTTGGCACACATAAAGATCTCATGCATTTACAGCAGCAAGGGATTCAACTCAAGTGAATCACTTTGGTTTCATTGGTTTTTGACAAAGATTAATTTGAGTTTTTTGGGAGGGAATGCGCAATAAAAAGTGTTAGTCAGTTAAAATACTTGGGTGGAATATATGCAGTACAATGTTAAAAATGCTACTTCGTGATTAAAAAAATCAAGCTCTTAATTTTTTTTTGTTTAATTTTATAACTGAAATCTGTTTCCACTAGAATCACGGTGAGAAACCTTTTATTATGTGCAGTGCTAAAAAGAGTATTTTAATGACAATCTGAAGTGTTGCCTCTGGTGAAACATGGTGACCTTTGTATAACATAGACTGAAGTTGAAGTAACAACTGTCTCTATATCAATTGTTCTAAATCTGAATTAGTATGGATCTAAACATGCTGGGTGAAGATTATTAGAATTTATTTATTTATTTTATTTATTTATTTTGCTGTAAAAAAAATATATATATATATATTTTTTTTTTTCAGTTGCTACCTACAGAGGTGGTGAGAACAAACCTATATAACACAGTATATTTAATCAGCTTGTTAAAGTCGGTTTCACGTTTCACTAATGAAAACCAGTAGTATTCCCACTGGGATCTAAAGAAGGAACAGGTAATGCAACATGACAGAACTAAGCTAATAAAGCCAGGAGCCTGTGTGTGTGTGTGTGTGCGTGCGCGTGTGTGTGCATTAATTTATAAAATCAGTCATTTTATAAATTATACAGTGAGAAAGCTTGCATATATTACCATCCATAGGCAATATTTGGAGAAGAAAAGTGTTTATTTCAGATTTAATATAAGGAGAACTTAAGAAGTTCTAACTTAACATGCACAAAGACAGCCCTGTTTGATGGCGCTCTGGAGGTGAAAACAGTCAAAGCCCAGTGAGTGAATGAATGGTGGTGTGGATCCTACAGGTGCACTCAGTAAGTAAATGATGATGAGAAACAGATCCTTCATATTTAACCCTTTAAGATTCTGTGCTGAGGGCCTACCCGGATCCCAAGCAGACATGATGATATATAGCCCTAAAAGTGCACTATGTAAATATTGTGGTGGAAGGTCCACCAGGAATATTCCTCAGTATGGTATAAAGCTAATTTTAGTTTTAATACCTTGAAAAAGATATATTTTTACTGTAGGCAGGGTTAACTCTCCATAGATCTTATCAAACTACTGTACATGTCTGTTAGATAACTTTAATGCCATACTGTGAAACATTTCACACAATAGCAATAACGCCTCCTTGGACGCAAGCAGGTGACTCAAAAAGTTACATAATGCATCTTTAATAGAAAGTCAGTACTGAAAAGGCGTATCAACCAAGTATCTTACAGTGAATATAATTTTGACTTTACATAAGGACATTTTGAAATTAGTTTATAGTTGCTGACAATTAATTGGATCTATGTAGTTCTATTGTTGCATGTCTAATGACAAATAAAAAACTTATCTTAACATAAAATTTAAACCAACTCTTTGATGCAATTTCTTGTCTGTGAAAGTGAGACATTCCGATAGGGATTATTAAAGGTGTAAAGCGTGTGTTGTAGGATTATCCTGGCAGCCACCCGCAGTCATCCACTGACATCTAGATAACACGAAAGACACAGTAAGGTCCAAGAGTCAGAGGAGCTGTGGAGGTTCAAACCTGTCAGTCTATTGCGTTTTGACTCTTGCAGTGAGTGGAGACACACTGGGATGACCTCAGGACCTAGACTTGGTAGTCAATGTGAAGTACATGTATAAAGCCCTATTCATCATCTGTCTTCATGATTGAAAAAGGTAAATAACATAAATGCTACTTTAAATTACTAAATAAAAGATCCAGTGACATTTCATAAAGAGTTTAAGAAGGTGGTTAAGAGGGTGGTTAAGAGGGTGGTGATGACTGTGCCATTCACAATAGTTGTTATATCCTGGTCCAAATCTAAGGGGCTTAAGGGAGAAAATTAAAGCCCATGGAATTGCTTCCATACTGCTGCTCCACATACAGCTATGCCCTCTAATACAATGGTAGTCGCACCACATCCACCGGACATGAGAGAGTCATAACATAAAAGTCAACATATTTAGATCCATACCAACTCTTTTCAGGCGTCTTGTAAGTTAAATTGGTTGTGTGGTTTTAATGGTAGAAGCATGGTTGAAGAAACTATTTTAACTCAAAGATTTTGGCTCAAGACTAGCTGATAGTTTCTTGTGGTTATTATGTGAACTCTTCAGGCCAGAAAGTCAGTACCTCAAGACTGTAGATCTGTTTGAAGACTTGCTGCAGATGAAAAACTCTGGTCAACCGGGATGCCATGGCATTCCAGATTTCGACCTGAAAATCACCAAAATAAGAATAATGTACATGATTTTGTGGATGCCCTTTGTTGATTCTCAACACCGACATATAGGCTTTATCAGAATAAATCTGGCATTCCAGCCAGATCTGATCCAGGCATCTGTTATTTAACACAGCCTTAAGCTACAACCATTATCACACTGTCTGATTGAGAAAAAGATCTGTCAACACATTGCTGATATGGAGATACTCAGAGAGAGCATAATTGACTGCACTAAAATCATGCTGTTTTCTGGACATATATAAAGTGTGTTCATATCTCTTCAAATCTCTCTTATTCTTTAAGTCACACTTGGATAACTTTGCTCATTTATTTTCAGTCTCTTTGCTGCAGGCTCTATCACACACCAAAGCTCTGGGCCCTAGGGCAAAGTACCAAACCTTGATGGGACAGGTCAAACATTGTCACTCGTCATTCCTCATCTTATCAGTGTCGTGTAGTATGAAACCACAGCCTTAAGCAAGTGGGTTTACTAGGGTCAAGTATGTCAAAGTGAAATTGGTCATCTGCTATGTAAACTGACTGGTATTGTTTACAGAGGTGCAATACAGTGGACAAAAGTTGGTTGAAAAAGCTAAACTAAACATACATGTGACATCAGTATTTGGGATCAAATCACTTTGGTTTTAATGTGCTATGTGCATTCTTACAACCTAGTAAGCAAGCAAGTATGAGTAATAATTCTCCATGCATCTTAAAGGTAGGAGACCTGGAGGTACTAACGTGTGCCATAAGGCTAGTTAGTGTGAATTAAAAACATAACCAAGCCCATTTCCCAAATGAATGGTGCTCCTAGGCACAAAGACAGATGCAGCCATTGAGAGAACAATGGAAGCTTTGCACTGCGATGTCAGAGGGGGTCTGAATCAGCGCCTGTGACATCACACTACTGCTCCATGATGCAGACAACCTCACTGTGGGGCAGGTTGAAACAATCATTGCTCACTTTTGTCCATGGGATTTTGAATCAATGTCAAGAAATTCCCAGAACTCTGCTAATGCAGGTAATGGCTTGGTGTGCTTTTAGTTTGTTTAAACTTCCAGCTAACATAATCTATTACATTCAACTGTCCACTTTATTAGACAGTAAAAGCTGCATGAGTGGGGCAAAGGCGTAAACATCTGCTTCATTACTGACTGAATGGATGACCTATGACATCATAAGGAAAAAGCAAAACGTATGAACATTATTATTTTTTCCATCATACGCCCCTATTCATATTATCAGAATGGTGCAGCCACATTACACAAGTAAAGCAATGTGTACTGGTTAAATTTATATTAAAAGCAAACAAAAAAACAAAACAAAACAAAACAAAAAACAATGGAATACCTGTGATGACAATAGTTGGATCTTGAAAGTGGGTTGTATCCAAGCTGCTGTTATCATCATCATCATCATCATCATTATCATCAGATGCAGCCCTGAAAGAGTATTCAATGTTTGTAAAAAGTAAAATGTTTGAGTATTTGTCTTAGATGGATGCAAAGAAACCCAGCCCTCTTGTTCTTACTGTCAAAAATGCTGAACAGAAAAATGTGGAGCTGACCTTTGCCTCCTCACTTTGGCTTTGGGCTGGTCACTAGTCTGTTGCTGCTCGCGGACAGCGTCCTGCAGCTCCCTGATCTTGGCCTTTTTGTCATTGAGAATCATCACAAAGCGAGAATACATTTGCTTCTCCAAAGCATTCTTATTTTTGACATGAATGTTCAGCCTGGACACACACAATTGTAACTGTAAATTTCTGTACCATATATATCATATGAATTAGTCACAAAGAATATAGTAACACACCAAATAATGTGTTCCCAAAATTATGACTAATAAAACCAATATATTACATCAGCTCACATAGATCACATAACCAGTTGATAACTGGGTGGAACTTGCATAATATAAACATTACAAACATTTAAAAACATAATAACTTTTTTGAAACAACATATAAAGAATATCTGAAATTAAATTAAATTAAAAACAGAACAGTAGCTTACTCCTTAAGTATTTGGTTGTGTTCATGCTTGAGTTTACAATTCTCCTCCAAAAGCTTAGAGTTTGTTGCCTCTAGATCTAAGCTGTGTTTAAGAGATTGGCCAATCATCTCCCGGTTTAGCTCCAGAGGGTCTGGTGCTGCCTGAAGCTCCACAGAGCCCAACGTTACCTAAGGGAAAGGAGGAACAAAGCTTAACACAGACCAATCAAATCAAGATTATACTGATTACATTCCAAAATCTGAGTGAATGCAAAGACAACTGTGCATTTAAATACTGTTTCAAGCTGAAAAGAGATTCTGCAAATAATGTTTAAAACTGTGCACATCTAACTAGTTAAGTGACTTAAGTGTCCTCTGGAGTTCTCTGGGTGACAACCAGACTGAATGTGGATGCTTCAAGAAAAGCTTTATTGGGATTAGTTCATGTGAGGTATAAAAGCTAATTGTCTTAGAACATTCAAAGAAAGCTGCTTCTTGTAGTACATGAGTAAGCACTTGCACTTGAGTGTTATTTCAAGATTTTTGCCAAAAAGAAGATGTGTTAAAGATGACATCAGAATGTGTCTGAAGTCTGACACTTTAAGAATGATGAGTGTGTTTCTCTGTCTGAGAAAGATCCAGGGTGGATACAACTTTTCATTCTGAGTCACTCAAGTTTCCTCTGCTCGTTCCTTTTTGATGACACATTTGAATCACAGGTACGTTTCAGGTGTAATCAAAAATTCCTCATTTGATTCATATAGTGCAGGTCAGCCACAGTCCACATTGAATACACGCTAAAAACACTCCAATATTTTTGCTGACTTTTAACCTCAGATGCAAATGCTGAATCAAAATATTGATGAAACTGTATTAAAACTTCTGTTGGCGATTTTAAAGATGGCTGGTGGGATGCCACAAATGTATGTGCACATATACGTGTGTGTGTACGTGTATGTTAATACATGTTGAGATGTTTATGAGTATGTATGTATGTGTATGTGGGTATTTGTAATATGTACATGTGTGTAGGTATATGTGTCTGTGTATGTATATATGCACACATGTATACATTTATGTAATGTACATGCACATGTGTGAATGTATAAGTATGTGCATATATGTATATGTAGGTGTAATGTAATTGTAATGTATTGTTATTGTCTTTGTCATGATTGTATACCTGTATGTCCTACGTTTTGTTCTTTTCTGTTGTGTTGGTAAAAAAAATAAAAATTATAAAAAAATAAAAAGACAGCTGGTGAGATGATGATGATGACCTTGCATGCAGTCATACACAATATACATAATATTTGCCGTGGTTGCCATGGGAATATCAATCATTTATACTCTTGTCACCTGCCTGTGCTGGGACAAGAGTGCTGCTAAATCCTGTTTGGCCATAATAAAGGTCATAAACCTTTAGTAATGAAGTCTCCATCTTCAAACAGAGCCATAAAATTCCTGTCATTTTTGTCCTGAGTGGATGGTGTCCTGACAGGCCACACAGCTGTTTGTCCCCTGTCTCTGCACATGAGCTGAATGGACATTTCCCAACTATAGAGCACCACATGTGCTTTATTGAATACAAGAATCTACTAAGGCTGAACAATTTTGCAAATATCAATTTGGAATTTCTCTCATCCGCTATGCAATTGAAATTCTATTTGTAATTTATGCTTATGTGTGCCAAAAATATAAACAGACTAAAACATAAACATGAACATTGAATAATTCAAGAATCACATGCATTTTTTATATTGCAAGTCTAAAATTCAGGGATATTTTTGCAGTTTTTTTTTTTTTGGTTTGTTTGTTTGTTTTTTGCTGTTTATAGGGTACATTTTGTAATAAAAATTATTATATAATGTTGATTTTGGTTTGTTCTGCTCATTTTTTCATAGTTTTTCAGGTCTCTATAGTCTGGGAGCTTGGGGGTTATAGTAATAGTAGACATTTTGAACCACTTCTCTCTCAAATGTACACGTGCTTCCAGCAGACTAGTCATTGGCCACATTCAAACAGATAATGTGAAGGCTGGACACAGAGTTTCTACATTTACAGCAGAAGAGTGCCAAGCTATAATCACTAGGCCTGACAGTAACCAGTTAAACCATTCATCTTTTTGACATTAATATCTCTTCTTTGTCATTAGTCTCTTGCAGTCTTCTGGGCAACTGAGTCAGTACTTTTTACCTGCTTCAGATGAACAGGACAAAGCTAGGTCTGTTGCAATAACAAATTAATTAATGCCTCTGACATATTGTAATGACAACACTTTAATAATTAGTTTGTAAGTCATAGAGGTCATTTATTCAACCCCCTGAAATGACAAAAAATTCCCACTATTACAAAGAAAAAGTACCCACATTAAATATAAATGACCCTCCAAAATTATTATTCCATCTATCATATATTGAATGATATAGTAATTATCATGGCAGGCCTACACAAAGCTTTCAGAATTAAGACTGTGTTATTTTAGGGGTAGAATTAAATTGAAGAAAAAACAATGCTTGTTTTCTTTTCATTTGTTGAGTTTAGTTGTATATTCTTAAGCTGCTGTTTAGCTGCTGAGTGAAAGGTCAGTCTGAACAGTACAGGAGTCAGTGCCAGCATGTGGGAGGTCAGAGCATCCCCAAACCTACACTTTTTTATCTTTTTAATCTTTTTACTTGTTGATTAATATGTCAGCATCACAGATATAACATAAACAGACTAGAGTGGACAAAAGGGACAAAGCAGTAAAACCCATGTACTACTTTAAAACTAGGATTTCCAATGGAGCCATGAAACTGTTGTGTGTGGTCTGTTTGTTTGTTTGGCTGTGACTGATACCAGGCTTTAGGTCAGACCCATGGAGAAAGGGAAACGTAGGTGTGGAGCAGTAAGAACAGAGAGCAAATAGGCCACACAGGGCACCACACACAAGGTTTCATTATCATGTAATAACAAAGGTTGGTTTGTAATCTGTTTATATATGTGTGTGTGTGTGTGTGTGTGTGTGTGTGTGTGTGTGTGTGTGTGTGTGTGTGTGTGTGTGTGTGTGTGTGTGCGCATGTGTGTGTGTGTGTGTGTGTGTATATACACACACACACACACATATAAAGTATATAATGTGCACAGATTTGTGAAATACTTCAACAGTGTTTATTATTATTAAAGATCAGATATTCTGATCTTACCAAGGTCTTTACAAAATCAAAGTCCATTTGAAAGTTGCGAGTATTTAAAAAAAAAAAAAACAGGGCTAATGCCTGTGGTAAAGATAAATCATGTTAAACAGTAGTTCAGACAATTAGCAGCACTTCCTAACAGCAATGACTGATGGGAAAGTGTAACGCCATAAATCAGAACACCTGGTGTAGCACACTAGATTTTCTAATCACAGAATTAGGGAAAAAGACAGCGTCGGGTCAGACTTAAAGGTGCACTATGTGACTTTTTTGATGGATGGCCTGCCACCCAATTGTCTCCATGGAGATGGCATTGATTTGTCTGATATGTTCCACAATATGTCACTGAAGTTGTACATATCCATGGAGCGAAGCAGCAGCTTGTTTTTTTTGTTTTTTGTTTTGTTTCCTTGAATGTGATAGGAACTCAAACTCAATTTACATAATTGCATTTGCTACTAGATAAGAGACAGTTTTTCAAATGTACAGATGCATTCTAGTAAAATATTTGATCAATGACAGATTGATATGTTAACAAATTCAAAGGAGGCAATTGTGTCTCACTAATGGCCACATAAAGTGCCAGAGGAGCGGCAGTTTTACTGGTTAGAACAGCCAAATTACTCTCATCATTACAACTTCCAGGGTCATATTCATAAATTACTGTCACAATGTTATCACCACCTGTTTAGTTGCCACCTCCCTTTCATCAATTGTCAGAGGAAACATGTCTCATTTTTAGAGACAGTACCCTTAAATTATACACCAAGAAAATATGTTACACATTTAACCTGTGACTGGCTCAAAACCAAAGGACGCCAAAGGACGCCAAAGGAGACACTAAATGAGAAGAAAAGAAACAGGTGTGTCTTGGAAGTTTCTTTTCTCTTTATAGATTTGTACTTTTGCCACACACAGGCTGCTAACAGTGATCAAAGCTCTAAGTCAAGCTGAGAGGCATTTTCAATTAAAACACAGCACTTTACAGAGCCTGCAGAAGTGCTGTTTAAAAGCTGGCTTCAATTAAGTTGTCTTGTGATTCTGTTACTCAAAGAAACAAATAGGCCTTATTTTAATGCAATTAAAAATGTAAAAATAATAATTGTATATATAATATATATAACTGGTATCCAAAAAGAAAAAGTACCCAAAAAACTATGCTGAGCTAACTTGTACATTAACAAATGATCAGTGGCTCAGTTTGTGAATTCAAACAAGGAATGGTTGCTATTAGAAGACCCTGGCTGTCACTACAATTATATGTTGGGTGCCCACAACTCTTGGCTTCTCCCCTCTGGCCTGCTCTAAGTACACTGCAGTCCCAGGACCCTAGTGACCTGGTTCCTCCAGGGTTCTTCCTCTGTAAGAGTAAAGGGACACCGAGATCCACCCGAAGACACATGACCCAAGCTATATGAATATGTCATCTGTGGTGTCTTCTTTATTTCAGTATATTCACAATATGAAGCATATGACATTTTTGGGGGTATTAGGAATAAACTAAAATATATACAACAATCATTATTTCACATTTTGTCCATTGTAAACAACAATATAGATCTAAAATGGCTTAATAATTGAAACCAGTCCATAAAGTTCCTGTTCAGAACTGTAGTACTGAAAAGTCTCACCTCTTCATAGTTAAAATTTCACTGTAGCAAGCAGCATTATTTTTATCTGTGTGTTTGAAAGTTGAAAAATACCTAAGTGAAATGTTTAACCCTGTCTATATTGTGGCTATTATAACATGGTGGTTAAAAGCTCATAAAAGTTTATTTAAATAATAAGTCTCCTTTAAGAAACTTTACAACTTTATAAACAAAGTATCACTTGACACATTGAGATGGTGTAGTTCTTCATTCGTACATGAGTGATTCAATGTAGAGAAAGTTTCATTGGTGGTCTCTATTTGTGACGTAATAATGGAGCTCTTGCTTTTTGTTATAACTTGAAGGTGTTTATGAGATATAATGGAGAAAAGTATAAACCTTATCTTCATAACAAGGCCTCCTCAGGCTACAGTATTTACTGGATAAAAATGCCATTATACAGTAATCACAGTTTATAACTATATTTTGTGAAACCCTTGATTATGTTTTTAAATATATTTTCATTATTTGAATGTATTTAATTGAACAGTTTAAGTCAACTGATAATTTGCACAAATTGGAGTGAAAGTTTATCATTGCTATACATACATTTAATAAGTGTAGTGTTGTATTGCTTACCAAGACATTGTCTGACATCTTCTGATAGGTTAGCTGATCTGAAGAGAGTTGGAATGAATACTTCTTTTCGAGTCCTCTTTCTTTGTTATCTCGGATTAAGGCTTGATGCAGTTCTTCCACATATCTTTCTCTGGACATTCCAGTGTCACTGGCACATTTTGTGACCTCTTCTTCTGAAACTGAAAAAGATGTAATTTAGAGACCACTGTTACATGCACCAGTCCTGTATTATTATTGTTATTCACTTAGAGGAAGTATCTACAGCAATTTTATAATATTATTGCAGGTGACATTGTAACGTTACCTCAATCCCTAATGAATCTAACTTTATCTAACCTTATCTAAAAATCCTTTTCATGCCACTGAATGGAACCTGCCTACATATTGAGCACTGAATTATGAAATGTAGTACTTTTACTTTGTGGTACTGCATTTGTACATGTGTACATGTTTATAAAGAACATCTCACACGACCCTTGGAGAGAATGTCATCAGCTGTGGCACAGCTGCTCACAGAGGGTCACAATTAACACATCAAACACAAAGAGTGACTATCCAGAAGCCTGCACAAAGCTCCCACAAGCTGCCTGTCAACTGTGCAGATGGAGTGCAATAAGACACTAAGGACCTGTTAAATTCCAGGTGTCTCTCATAGGAAAAGCATTTGTGTATATAGGCAACCAGAAAACCACTGACAAGACACCATAAAGACCAGCCTTGTATAATATAATATTAGGTACACCTGTAGCTGCCAATCTTTGTGTAAGAAATATTTTATCTCTAGAAAACTGTCAGTAATTGTCAGAATTGTATTTATTTTGTTTGTTTGATTGATTTTATTTAAAAAAATAAATAAAAGAAGAATCACCTTCTCCAATCCAGGCTCCACAACCATTGGTCAAAACAAGTGCAAAGCCAGCACCAAGGTCACCTGACCAGTCCACCCGCAGGACATACGGGATGTTTGAGTCATTGGTTATGAAAATCTGGTGAACAGCACTCTTCATGTCTGATGGACCTGCCAGAAAACAAATTACATATTTAATTTGAAAAGACCTTAAAAATGCATGCATGTAAAAATACAGCATACATAGAACTTTGAAGGTTATGTGTGTGTACATAGTGAAAATGCATATCTAGCACTGATATATTAAATAACAACACAAATGTTTCTAGGGACTTTTACTTGATTACGGATGTCCAGGTCACAATAATTCTTGCTTTCTCGTGAAGTGAGAGGTGAAGTGGACATCATCAGCTTAAATACAGGGCACATGGTGGGGAAGGAGGCGAATGACAGTTTAATTAGAAGTTGGCAAAGTTTAACATTTTCACAAAAATGAAAATGAACCCCTTTAGACATTGAGCGTAAGTCACAATGTGACAAAGCGTTTCGTTTTCTTCAGTTCTTAAGAGGAATCACATGACCAGTGCAAATAAAAGGTTTATGTATGAAGAGACTTTATAACAAAAGTGGTGCTTTTCCATGTGCACCTTCATGATGATGCTTGGCGAATGAGGGGTTGTTGCTGGATGAGGGGGCAGAGTGAGTAAAGGGAGCTAGAAGGGTCAACTTTAACCTCATAAAACAAGCCCAGCTACTCATTAGTTACTGTAACATCTGTTGTGCAGGGATGATGACCCTGTGGTAAAGACAGAAGAACAGCCCATTGAAATAAACTGTTGTCTGTCAGGAATGGACTACTGGACAAAATTTCCAGGGCTTGTCATTTCAATTCACAGCTTATATTGAGTATGTGTAATATAATATAATACTTAACATGCGTTTTATTCAGATCATTCTTGCTATGTCTATCTGCTGTTAATGGCAAGCATATGTCACGTGTAGTTGAGATGATCAAGTACAGTAGGCTGTCTGACAAATAAGCACAGTATGAACCGTGAACTGTGGTCAAGGAAGCGACTGTTCACTTGTTGTACTGCTTTGCTATTGTAAAACAAGGTTTTAAACAGATGTAATTAATCATCGTTGATGTAGTTAGGTCAAGTACTGAATATGAAATTAGTTACGCCTCTGTAATATACCTTTATCTGAATATGCTGGAATATTAGCGTTGATCATGATATAGGCCTAGTATAAAACAGTTTCACGTGTGCCTAAATATACTTACAGAACAAACTAAACGAAAGACTACAGTAGTTCAAAGTGTAAGTACAGTCTGCTCACAGAAGCAGTTCCATCGACGGCGCTCTGGTGCAGCTGGGGTTTCAACTTTAACCCCAAGAGCCGCCAACCAATCATCAAGCAGAACACTGGCGTACTACGTCAAATGCGTAGCAGGGTTACGCAACGTAAGATCACCAAAGGGAAGTGTGATGTGGCTCTGAATCGCAACAAAAATGGTAAGCTTGTTTCATGCTCTGCGCTTCAACGCATCCAAACAAATCAAAATACTAGCGTGTTTTATACTGTGCGGAACCCGTTGCACGCTAGATTGCATTTGTTAGAAAAACTGTTGACAAAAACAAATCGTCGTTAGCATTAGCGCTAGCCTCCTTTACTTTTTATTGCCTTGGAGTCATTATGCCTAGCTTGATCATTGGTTACACATTATCCTTAATCCAAACATGATTTAAGCAATTTACTATAACTACAGAATAGGCATGTTATGAATGCAGATGCAGAACTTTGAAGATGGTTGTACGTAGTGTACACTGCCACGTATAATGGTAGGAGCAGAAGTGGCTGGCTGGAATATGCTCAGAAACTAATACTCGTTGCAGTCCAAAAAAAAACGTAAAAACTCACAATATTTAGTAGATTTTAATCTTATCTGTTTGACAATTGAACATTCATTGTTGAAATTTACGAAATGGGAAAATTATATTTTCTTTTTACTATTGTCTTTATTTCTCTTGCAGTCTGCCATTTTCAACTTCCAGTCACTTCTTACGGTGATTCTGCTCCTAATTTGTACCTGTGCCTACATCAGAGCTCTGGCTCCCAGCCTTCTTGACAAAAACAAGACTGGGTATACTTTTTCATTATTATTATTATTATTATTATTATTATTAATGTTATTGCAAATGGTTAATAATATTATTCAATGAGATAATTTCTCTTTTCCTTTTCCAGACTCCTAGGTATTTTTTGGAAATGTGCCAGAATAGGTATGAATGTTTGTCTTTTTGTGTATAATGTTTTTGCACCATTTCAAACCTAGTTACAGCTGTTTATGTTTTTGTCTGTAGGAGAGCGAAAGAGTCCTTGGGTGGCCTGCTGTTGTGTCATCATGGCTTTTAGTATATTGTTCTTGCAGTAACAAAAGAAGAGCTATCCACTGTGGAAATGAGATGAGTTGATATAAGCACCAAACACTGAATCTAGTCACACACAAGAACTTTGCAGGCTGTGATTGCTTCAAAAAAAAAAAAAAGATGGGGGACCCTGTCATCAGTCCCTACCAAACACACTCGTGTGTGTGTGTGTGTGTGTGTTGGCAGAAGAGTGCAAGTATGTATTCATCAGACTTATGTCTCAACTAATGCAAAGCATTAACAGTATGTGAACAATGGGGGCCAATTTATTCATTTCTGTTTTCTGCTTTATGCAATTGTTGTTATTCGTCACCTTCTATCACAATTATGGGGATCAAGATACATTTGTCTGAACGTTTCAGAACATTTTTAGAAACATGCCAATGCTTAATTTTAATTTCTTATAAACTCATAAAACAAAATAAATATCTGTGAACCTCTGACCCAAATGCTTACTTTTTAGTTCAACTGATGTATGAAACATTTGAAATGACTATCTTTCATACTATATGCTCTGCACGATTGTAGGTATTGTTAGAAAATGGAATAGAAAATTTCCCCCAACAGGCATTCAGTTATTGTGTATTTGTTGAAAGGGGTTTGTTTTAAAGTAAAATTGTCAATATTTATTAAAACTTTTTTCAAAAATCTGGAAAGATTTAGCATTTTATTTCTACATCTTTTACATGGTTTAATTTCAACAGTTGTAATGCTGAATGGTGAAATGTTTGAGATAACCCCTGCTGTAACCTCTCACTCATCATGCAGGCTTGACAGTATAGTGGCTGCCTCAATGACATAAGATGGTCTTCTTAAAAAAACAACCAAGCAGAGGAATGTACCATAAGTTATTTAATTAATAGCTATGTTTTAATATTTTGCCCCATGTGTATGTGTATATATATATATATTATATATTATATACACAAATTTTACCTTTACAAGTCTCCTACACATTCCGTTTATCAAACATCCCGCAGTGACTTCCTCTCCTCTTCCTGTAGGATGGCTAAATAAAGCTGAGACTTGTTGACGTTTCCACTTTTTGATGCTCCCATCACGTAGGAGCGTTCAAATCCCAACACCCCCTCACTGTCCCATGTTAGGAAAAGGAGTTCTGTTAGATCCGTTAGAGTGAGATAAAGAATCAAGTGAAGACTGCCGGTAAAGTCCTAGTTATCAGTGGCCAGTGACGCAGATACAGGAGACTCAGGAGCTGAATGCTCTCAGACTGCTGACTCCATCTTGAGGAGCATAGATAGTGCTTAGCTGATGTTCAGGACTAGGTGGAAATAGAGGTGGAAGTAAATTATTACATTCATTTCATTTCTAGTTTTTAGTTTTATTCAAGAAATGCATTATTCTTGTCTTTCACTGTTTATGTTTTATGGATAAACATGAGCGTGTGTTTTAGAGACTATGAAAAGTATATCTGCCTCTCTAAATTATAGTCAGTAGCTCCAGATAGCCATTTCAGTGCGCAACAACTAACTAAAGAAAAAATGCCAAAAAGAAACATCAATCATATGTGAGCTCTGTTGCACACATATCTACTCATGAGAGGTAACACTATTTGCATGATAGCTTTAAATTTGTACGTTGATATTTCTGGTTGATTTGGATAAATATTTTAGAAAAGATATTACCGGAACATATCTATAAAGTTACTTGAGAATACTTTTATTTTGGTCCATCTGCTGCCTTCTTTAATCAGGTGGTGATTCTTCTGGTCATTTTGAGCACTTCAAAGGCCTTTACTTGAGTTAGTTTGAAGCTTCTCTAGCTAAGTGGACTACAAGTGTTCAAAAGACTTAGCCACTTCTGAGTATCTGGAGAGGCTCTTTGATCTGCACTGACAATTCAAAAAGCAAAGGGATTGTAACAGACAAATAGAAAAGTTATTTTCTCATTGTGGGAACCACCATCACTTGAGTGGGAGCCAACCAACAACTCCATCAGCAAGAAACACAGCAGAGGATACTTCCTACAGTAGTTGTGAAAGTGCAAAAGCCATGCCAAAACGTGGTCCTCAAGTGCTCACTGTTATTGGCAGACAGATGCACATCTATTAGCCTGCATTATATGATGTAAAAAGCTTGGAGTATTGTGTACAGTGTTGATGACTCCCATACTGCCTGCATCACTTCTAGGAAGAGGGAGTTGTTTCCACTCCAGACACAGAGAGGGTCTTGGAGCTGCACCTGGCTCTTCTCCAAACATGAGCTAAATTGTGAGCCCCTTTTCTTCTCTCCCAGCTGCCATAGGAACCAACACTACACACTGCTTCATGGACAGGGCAAAGAGCATACAATCTGGGAGACTGGCAAAGTCATGTTGGTTACCTTTAATGTTGTCATTATTTTGTTTTAGCCCAACAACTTTGAGCTACACAGTGTAATTTGTTTTTGATATTTTAAGATTTGGACTTGACCATTTTTCTGGATGTCTATTTATTTGATTTATGACATGTACTGTTGAGTACTGTTTTGGATGGTAGTGCTTAAAAGTGAATGTATCTCTTCTACTTGAATGTATCTCTTCTACTTCATTTTATTGGTACTGTGGCTTTTTGTCTGCAGTTTCATCCCAGTTGCTGTGTATTGTAGCTGTGTCTGTTCGCAAGATACTTCATCTACACTGAATTAATGTGGGTTAGGGTAATTTCTGGCAGACGTAATCCTAATTGCACCGAATGAGTTCCAAATGAGTGCCAAAGAATAGATCTAGTCTGCAAATACTATGACCCTCACATCTGTTTATTTGTGTAGAAAAAAATGAACACTGCCTCACATGAGCCACTTCCAATACACAAGCAGGAGGAGTTGATAGCTACAGTTCAGTGTTTCAGAACAGTCAAGAGGACACACACAGCGGCCAGTGACTTCCAACTGTATGCTGAAAGTGAAATTAGAAGTTATTATGCTATAGTATAAAGATTTATCTTGTAATAGCAATGCTGTGGTTCTAGTATTAATGTAGGGACCAAAGTACTTGCAGAGGAAAAGTATACATTTTAGGCTAAAAGTAAAAAAAACTTACCAACCTACCAAAGCATCAGCTGACAATACTTAATTAGACCATCCTTGAGAGACCCCTGGGCTAATCTTCCATGTGTTGAATAAATATTTTTCTCTGATGAGACATGTGCTTCAGTTGTGGTGGGAGAGGAGAGCGCCACAATGGCTCCTCTGTCCGGGCCTCAGACATGACTCAAGCACAGACAGGGAGAGGATGGCTCATGTACTACAGCCCTGCTCAGCTGTGGGCGCTTAGCAACAGCAGCATCAACATATTCAACACCATCATGCCTGAGTTTTAAATACAGATATGACATAAACTGAGACTGATGCTATACAACATTAGAAATCCTGCAACAAATTAATCATGTCAGTAGTAGTATAGTAGTACAGTATTGCATCTATGGAGATTTAAAAAAAAAAAAAAAAAAGTTACATAGTGCACCTTTAAATGCAGAATCACTGTTCACTGTAAACAGACTCTTACATTTGTGTAAGTTTTCTGGTGGAGGATCCGGCAAATGCTTTTTTTTCCATGGAGATGTTATTGCGTTGTCTGGAATGTTTCACAGTATGGCATTAAAGCTTTCTATCTTCATGGAGACCAAACCAGACCAAACTTACAGGTCAGATCAGTGGAGTGACAACCCCTCTCATAGTCAGAATGCCTCTTTGAGATATTTTTAAGCTATACCACCTATGATTGATTGAAATGTAAGGGAGATCTGTTTAATGTCATACTGTGGAACTTTTCAAGCAGAGCAATGACATATCCATAGAAACAAGTATAGGTGACAGACCCCAAAAGAATAAATAATAACCCTAAATTTGTGACTTTAACCTAATATTAAAATTTTACTTCCTTAAAAGCCAGGAAATGGTCCTCAATCAAATCTGAAATATGATTTTTTATGTATTTATTTATTTTAAGTATTGTGGTGTTGGATATTTTTGTATTATGGAACAGCAAATGTACAGGGCAGCATGTTGATACTTTATGAAACTGTCACACCTATCTGACCCTGGACATTTAAACAGCCTTAAGTGGTGAAAATGATCTGTTGGTTTACAAAGGATTCAGGAAATGGTTAAACAATGGGAAGAGGATGTTATTTTTATCACTTTGAAATATATGTGTTTTTGTTTGAGCGCTCTAAAGTTTGTTTGCAAGAACTTGACTTTTTCAAATGAGGTAATATGTATGCTTTACCACCTGTTGGCAAAAAGACTTGAATTACTAAACCTTCTTGTTCAAGAGTTTTACAATGACAAGTTCCTACTACAAATCCTACTACAAATTGTTTATCAAGATAACATTACCTAAGTCTACCTGTTTGCACTTGAGACTTGGGTTACTTTGATTTAAAAAAATGTGGTGAGAAATCTTATTACATTTATACTGAACAAAATAACCCCAAATAAGAAGATTGCCTATAATTTGAGATTGTCAAATAAATGAGCATTATTTGATTCTGAAGAAGATTCAGTGCAGCAATTGTGTGCCCTACCACAAATGTGTTTGCTTCCATGGTATCCATTTGGCTCTGATTAGGCAACATGTAAACAGTTCTTGTAGCGGTAAACAGCTGATTTACTGTTGCTAATAAAGTCAGAGCTGCGTATTAAAGTTGAGTGGATAATGATCAATGATGCGCATTGCTGTCCACTGCACAAAAGAATCATTATCTTTCCTTTTTTCATGTCCCACCGTGGTGAACAAAGTCTTTTAGAAATCATTCACATATGTTCACTGAAACTTTTCAAAAACAATTGTTTGTTTATGATGCTTTGAAAACAGTACCGGTCATTCTGTGAATCAACAAAACAAAACACTTGGGCACAATTCCCTGGTGTGTTGTATTTTGTGGCATAGATGCGTCATTGTGGGAAGCTGCCTATGATGTGTCACATGACAATAAGAACAGCTGGGCCTGGGCCTGAGGTGGATGGTAAAGGATTCCCCCAAAACACTCTCCCAAGCTGTGAGCCATACAAGTTAACGAGATATTTCACAACATGTGATTCAGTGATAAACAGGCGGGAGGATTTATATGCTTTTCCAAAAAATCTAAAGCAATTTATCTGTCAAACTGACAAGTTCCCTGTTGAGAAACTAGTAGAGTTAAGTTGTGGTCACTTTGGTCTGGGTTCAAATTACTCACAAAATGCATTATACAGACCCTGCAGAGCATATTTAACATGTATTTTAGAACGTTTTTAAATTGCATGTGGGCTACCATGTCAATTATTGTTCAAAAGTAGAGGCTTATAAAGTAATAAAGAATCAGAACACTAAAGGATTTGTTGTTGTTTTGTTGCTGACTCCATTACCAAATATTAAATGCCTTATATAAAACATGGAGCAGAGGTAAAACAGACATTTGAAACACAGTGCTGTCTGTTATGAATGTTTGAATAAACTTGTGAAAGACCAACTGAGCTGAGGCCCTGCTGAGAAAGAGCCAAGAGCAGCAAGCCTCAAAGTAGGTCCAGGCCTGTCCCAGGCCAGCATAGGCCTAATGAGGAACACATGCACCCACAGTCCAAGGCAGAGCTAGGACAGTCAAGGCTGAGAAACAGAAATGCACAGGGATTAAAAGCTTTAACTCAAAAATCAGTCACACGTCCACACTGACAAA